AGGTTTTGTTGATCCAAGCAATGCTGGGAAGGTATGCAAGCTTAAGAAGTCCATTTATGGACTAAAGCAGGCAAGCAGAAGTTGGAATCTGCGATTCGATGAAGCCATTAGTAAGTTTGGTTTTATCAAGAATCCAGATGAGTCTTGTGTCTACAAGAAGGTCAGTGGGAGTGACATCGCATTCCTACTCTTATATGTCAATGACATATTACTCATTGGAAACAGCACTAAACTGTTAGAGTCATTAAAGGGCTGGCTTGGAAAGTGCTTTTCAATGATGGACTTGAGGCACAGTACATATTGGGCATCAAGATCTATAGGGATATATCTAAGAGGATGATTGGATTGAGCCAAAGTACTTATATAGATAAGGTACTGGCACGATTCAACATGGAAGGGGCCAAGAGAGGGCACCTACCCATGTCCCATGGTATAACTCTCAGCAAGAAACAGTGTCCACAGACACCTGATGAGCGAGAGAGGATGAGTCAGATTCCATATGCTTCACTTATTGGATCGATCATTTATGCCATGATATGTACTAGGCCGTATCTATCGTATGCCTTGAGTGCTATAAGCCGATACCAATCAGACCTAGGAGAGGCGCATTGGACTGCGACCAAGAGTAACCTAAAGTACCTAAAAAGGAACAAGGATAAATTCCTGGTCTATGGTGGCTGTAATGATTTAGTTGTTGAAGGTTATACTGACGCGAGCTTCCAGACTGACAGAGACGACTCCAAGTCGCAGTCAGGGTACATATTCTGCCTTAATGGAGGAGCATTTAGTTGGAAGAGTCTAAGCAGAGCACCACTGTAGATTCTACAACTAAAGCCGAATACTTGGCAGCTTCGAAAGCAGCTAAGGAGGCAGTTTGGATTTGTAAGTTCATTGGTGAATTTGGTGTTGCTCAGGCCAAGGAGCCAAGGGAACATCAGAAGGTCAAACATGTCAAGCGGCGATTTCACATGATAAGCGAATGGAAATCCGAGGGTGAAATCATAATTTGTAAGATTGGAACGGACGACAATGTAGCCAATCCTCTAACTAAACCTTTGTCTCAAGTGAAGCACAACAAGCACGTTGAGGCAATGGGAATCAAGCATATTGAAGATTGGCTTTTATTTCCCTACATAGGTGTTTTAATTAAACTCGATGTCTTAATGTAAAACACTATGTTGAACCGTTCAATTTTGGATCAATTAAATTTTCGGCAAATTTATGATTACTCCATATCTACTGAATTGTGGTTTAGAATTAAATAATGAGTCCATTCGATTTCTGAGAATATTCAAAACATGGTATCAAGACCATGTCTTGGATAAAGAAACACCTGTTAAGTGAACATTGAATATTTTAATCGAAAATTATCCCTAGTCGAGGTCATTCAAACGATGGACGATTAATGACCGCTTGAGATTAGTGTGTAGTATGATTTATAGCACCGTTTCTTGTGCTACAAGGACATGATAGTCATAAATCATTTGCACAGGTACTAGTTTGGAACTGTACCGGATAGACCTATGAGAATACTTTAAGAGCTATCAAATCGTCATAAGTATATTTCTCATTATAGCTATCGGAACCTTTTTCCTCGACCATGAGTATTGCAAGTTCTCTTGTTTGAGTACTAGTCGTTTTGATGTTGTCAAACGTCTGCCTATTGACAATAGGGAATATGTCTTTTTTGTTTACAAGGCCTCTCGAAGAGCGAGACTATAAAAATGCATGGCCGTGCTCAGATGTATTTTAGAAATCATCTATTTATTGGCAGTCAAACTCGGGAATCGAGAAACACTTCTGGACGTAATAAGGATGACGAAGAATCTTACCTTATAGTTCATGAAGAGACATTAAGCGACATAAGAAAAGGGCTATACACTAATTGCACACTTGTCCGGAAGGACAAGTGGGAGATTGAAAGAAATGGTGTCCTTCCAACAAGTGTATTATTCCGATAGAGGGTTCAAAATTATTAGAAAGCTAATTCTTCAGTAAGGTCAAGTGATCGGAATGCCTAGGTGGAGGCCGCTTCCGATCAGTAATATTAATGTACAATTAATACTACAGCTTAATCTTGACTAAACCCTTCGGGTCGAACCCAATCGAACAACCGATCCGAGACGACGAATCAATCCAAATTATTTGATGAGTTATCAGAGTATTACGAACAAAGATGTCGGATATCGAGCTTAGAGCGTCGAGACCGAGCGTCGCAAGTCGAGGCGAATTTAGAATTCGACGAGACGTGAAATCAATCAAGTAACAAGTTTGAGCCTAGCCGTAGCCTCGCATTGGCCTAGCCATGAGAGTGCTAGGCTAGGAAAGGTCCCAAGCAATGTGTGCCTAGCATCCCCTAGCACACGCACATCGCATGGCACAAGCATCGCAAGATGGGTGCATGCGTGTGGTGTGGTTGTGCATGCATGGCTAGGCGTGCTAGCACTGCAGCGGTAGCCATCACATCGTGCTAGGCATGGGCTAGCACAGCCCGCAAGCATCGTAAGCTTGGTGCGTGGTTGCTAGCATGCTAGGCCAAGCACCTAGCCATCACTAGCCGCAAGCATCGCACATGCTAGCAACGTGCTGGGTTGTGCGTGCTTGCTAGTGTGCTAGGGCCTGGCGCATTGCTAGCAGCAGCCTCGCATATCGCACAGCACCACGCACTAGCCAGCAGCGTGCTGGGCATGCTAGGTTGTGCGTGTGTGCTAGCAGGCAGCAACCTCGCATAGCAGCGCCTAGCAGCATGCATCAAGCAGCAGCGAGGCATGCGTGCTGGCTGGCCTTGTGCTGGCTGGCTACGCATGCATTGCGGGCTGGCTGTGCGTGTGTGCTAGCTGGCTGGCTGGGATGCCCAGCGTTGGTGCTAGGCGCCAGCTGCCTTGGCAGCCAAGGCAGGCTGCCAGCCAGCCACATAGAGGAGTGGTCCGGTTTCTTGTGTGGGGACCAATGGTTGGTCTTTGCCTTGGGGGGGCAAGGTGGGTTGGTCCCCTCCCTTGGTGGTCCTCACCTTCTTCCTCTCCTCCCATTATCACTTGTAACTTGTCGATTGAATTGCAATTTTATTTTGGTTTGATTAAAATAAAATAGGGAAATTGCAAATCTCCCACATTGATTAAGAATGGGAAATCAAGGTTCATTTCCCTATAAATACCCATGTTTTGGGATTTGGGAAGAACACTTGAGTGGAACTAAAAAGGCATCTCCTTAGAAAAGTGAGAAAACCTTAAGTTCATAAAACTCTAGTTTTTATTGGTCAAGTCCCAACTAACCTTCGGGACTAGGACCGTTCGGGTCGGGTTCGTGGGTACGAGCTGTTGGAGACCTTCGCATTTGCCGGGTTTTGGTTTTGAAGTAAGAGCTCGGGATCAAGCGAAGCACGCCCCAAGGGTATGAATGTCTTTTCCTTCTCTCTCTTAATTGATGTTTAATATGTGATTGCATGCTTAGTTTCCTTAATTAGTGGGCGGGTCTTGGGCGGGTTTCTCTTCCACGTAGAGTCGGACTCTACGAAACCCAACATCAAGCATAGGTATGAAATTGGAGTGATCACAAACTAAGTATATTTGAATGCCGAATTAAGGTCCAATCTAGCCACCTATCGGGGTCAAAAGGTTTCTCCTAACATATCCTTTATGCTATCGCACTAGAACCATATACTAAGAGGTACAATCAAGCACAGTCGACAAAAATGAATCTAGCAAGGTCTGCTATAGCATCATCAAGCATCAATTCACCTTCAATTCACAAACAACATGCATTTTGCAAGCAAATTGAACAATATCAAACATACAAAGACATTATTCATGATCAAACCAAATCCTATAGATAAAACATGCTTAAGCTTCAATTATACCATCCCCTAAACCTTAGCAAAAAAGATTACTCCATAATCGTAGCAATCAACATGCTAATCGACAAATCAACAAGTAAAAGCATGATTAACAAGCAATCAACAAAGCAAAATCAAAATAAAGCAATAATAATAGAGAAGAGAAGGTAAGAATTGCTCAGTGATTGATGGTGAATATCTACAAGCAAGATGATCAATTTTCCTCTTCAAAATCCAAGCTCAACAATGATGAAACTCTCACTTTCTCTCTCTAAACTACTCTAATCCTAAGCTAAACCTAGAGAGAGAAGCTCTCCTAAAACTAGAGAAAAAGATCTAAAATGAATAGAAGACGTCTAATTGATGCCCGTAAAAAACAAGCCTCGCGTATTTATAAAGCCACGGAAATAAGCCGAACAGGGGTCCAGTGCGTGCCCACGCACAGTGGTCTGTGCGGCCGCTCACAAAGCTGCGCGCCCACTCTTTTGTGGGTTTGCGCGGCTTGTTGTATGGGTGAGCGCCCGTGCTGCTGGGTTGCGTGCCCGCGTATGGTGCTGCGCGCCCGCGCACAGCCCGCACGAAGGTTCTGCCTTCGTTCTTCATTTGTGCCCACTGTGTGCGCCCACACACAGGTTTGCGCGCCCGCGCACCTTGCTTTTTTCGAATCATCTCTCGTGCTTCCTTGGATTCTTCTTTCACTAGGCGAAAAATACATATGGGCACCGGTTAAAAACCGCCATTTTGCACCGGTTTTGAACCGGTCCTTATTTGAGGGATGCCAAAAACCAAAAGATTTCGCACCGGTGCGAAAACTTAGATTTCGCACCGGTGCGAAAACTTAGATTTCGCACTGGTTCTTGCTGTGAATCGGTGCGAAAAATGGCCCAAAAAAATCAAAAAAAAAAAACTTTTAGCACCGATTCTTGCTGTGAACCGGTGCCAAAAATGGCCCAAAAAAATAATAAAAAAACTTTTAGCACCGGTTCTTGCTCAAAACCGGTGCCATAAATGCCCCAAAAAAATAATTTTTTTTTTTTTTTTTTTTTTTTTTGCATATTTTTCACTTAAATTGTACCAAATACTTATATATAATCATAATATACATAAAACACATATATTTTCTTTAATAACTTGTAATATTACATTTTAAAAAACTGAAGAAAAAAAATTAAAAAAAAAACATATAGTTTACGTCAACCTAAACTTACAAAACTCATAGTCTCATGCATGAGGGAACTAACAAAATAAAGCATCATGGAGAACCCTAATGAACAAGCCATAAACAATTCAGGACATGAAAATTAATCATGCCTAAAAGCTACAGAGAGTTGCTAAGCAGCGTACTTCTACAGTGAAGAGCAAGAAAGAGCTTAGAATATCAACTAGCTTCTTTTTTCAGCCTCATCCTCATAATCCAATGCTCCTGCAAATCCAATAGACAAATGGTTATATGATCAATTCAAAAAGGTTGAAATCAATGAAAGCAGAGACGATTGAATTGGCAATATTTGTCAAAAGCATATCCCTATGGATTACGAGATGATTGTACAGATTGTTGCTCAGCCTGCAATTTACATCACGAGATTAAAGATTACAAAGAGGATACAAATGTCTTAAGGATTTAACTAACAATATCAAACAGGGAATGTTTCAATTTAATATACTAAATGTCAACTTAGATTACAATGTGTGGTGCTAATGCCCTAAGAAAATCAGAAAACAAGCATATGCCACATAATGACATAGTATATCTTACACACTGCAAAAAGAACTCCATGTTAGTAAATCAATGAGTATAAATAAGAACAGTACATTAGCTTCCTTTCATTAAAGTCCCCCTGCCACAAACTTTCTTCAAATATAAAGCCAATGAAACTACATGATGATGTAGACAATGTATGTACCAAGAATCAACCAGCAACTGAAATATTTAGCAAATGATGAAAACATCAAAAATATAATTGAAAAGGGGAACTTTACTGTTTTTAAGGAATTTGGCTAATATAAACCCACATGTGTACCTTTTTACCCCTTCCAGTAACCCTAAACTCATAAAACCTCATCAAATTCAATGGAAAAACTTCAAAAACTGAACCAGTTAGTTATTTGGAATTTATTGTCAGGTTAAATTAAAACCTCATCAAATAAAGTATACCCTCGAAGAGAGATCACATTTCATAGAAAGTTATATGACTTGGCAATCTCCGTCAAACCAGTTTTGTTCCTTTCAAGGTGGAAAAAACAAGAAGTGCAGTGATTAAAAAGGAAAGCATGAAACAAACCTTGCAGATGGGTGCAAAATATCGTCATCACTTGAGATTTCAGTTGAATGCAGACTAGTTCTTTGCGATGTAAGACCCCAAGGAGATGGTGCAGGTATTTCATCAGCAAAATACCTCCACCTGATCAACTGAAAAAAAAAAAAAAAAAAAAAAGGAAAAAAGAAAACTTGTCAATGTTAGCCTTCAGTCATTCACAAGTTCACACTACTTACATTAGTTATGATTGTAGAGTGGAAAACGCAGAAGGGAATAGAGAAAAAGAAACCCAAGGACAGCATGATCAGACCAAAATGGAGATAATGTTCAAGGTTACCAAATGAAAAAACTTCATCAGAGCCTCCTTATCAAATTTACCCTCTTTGGCACCCTATGTAAATACAATAAAGCAAGAAGGGGGAGTTTGATGATTAAAAACTGGAAGTTACAGCCAAATATAAGATAATTCCACTTTCGAGAGGTGAATTTTCTCCCAAGAAACTCTCTCTAAAATTCACAATATTCAGCATGGTAATCTCTCTTTAGTTAGCTTTATAAATAAAGTTTTCCCTTACTAGCTGTCTTTTCCTACAAGCTACTAGAGAATTTTGTTATGCAACTTCCTAACTTTCCCTCCAAAAATTTCAATTTATAGCATTTAGCTTTCACTAGAGAAGCATGCAGTTTTTATAAATTCTGTTTTTGGGGTAGGAGACATTTTGAACCCTAGGTAATGCAGGCATCTTGTACCCTGATATAGCTTTCGCTACATATGCATTATATATTCATTCGTGAAATAAGAATCACACTTTTTCCCAGGATCCCTCCCCTCATGTTAAGTGAAAGTAGAAACAGCTTATTACATAAAAGAGGAAATTCCAGTACGAGCAAATATAGGCCAAAGTTTGAAACTTTGAATACTTACAGCAATATGGGCTAAATTTCCGGGAAAACTTGCAGTCATTGGAAGGTCTTCACTAGATGAAAGTAGACCTTGCTTCTCAGCCCATTGCCTAGCCACATCAACAAGATTACCACTACTGCCTCTTTCACTCTCCTTTACTGTGAAATCTGCTTCGTTGCTGATTACAATATAGGGAACAGGAAGCCCATAAGGCCCACCAGATGCCAGAGGTGCTAAGAAAGTCCCATTTGCAGTGACCTTAGCAGCCCATTTCTGTAGGCTTAATTTTGTCCTCTTTTGAGAGATGTTATAAACAAAAATAACACCTGCAATAGTTCCACGAAAGATAAGAGCATAGCTAGCATGATAATATGCACACATTTCCCCCTAGAAATCCAAAATGGTTGAAGACAAATACTCACCTGGACAGCAGCTCTATAGAAGAGTTCCTCACCTACTGAGCTTGCTGCAACAATGAGTATAAACTGCAAAATTGATGAAATATTAGTCAAAACTTCCAACAGTTTTAATCACAATAACACATGTTATCTTAATTTAGCAAGTCTTCTAATTCTAAAAGGTGCTAAATCATATACCTGCCATGGTGACATTCCATAGAAGAAGCTTCGTAGTTCCTCATCCTCCACATCCCTTATCGCACAAGCATGGGGTGATACGTCCTATAGCCAGTTACATAAGCCATTAGGAAATTGAATGAAGAAAAGGTGAACATGACAAAAATACAAACATCGAAGCCAACGATTATATATAGAAAGTAACATATAGCCTCAGCCTCATTCATAGGGAAAGTCATAAGACATACATCTAATATAAATAGAAGAGCCATAATGGGAGGAGTAGCATATCCAAGTCCTTAAATAATGGCATCAAATGATGGTTGGAAACCTCCAGAGCTGTCTATTCCGGAAAGTGAGCATATGAACCTCCCAGCAAGAGCCATAGCACCATATATGCCTAATGTCAGCAGAATCACACGCAATTATCAGTACATCAAACACATTTTTCTATCACATAATTTGATAAAGAGAACAGTCTTTCAAATTTAAAAGGAAATCCATAAGGCATACTGTGCAAATCGTGCTACAAACACTACACCACATTGCACCTTAGAAGGGTACCTTCCTATCTGCTGTTCGCACCTCAGGAAGAAACGAAAGAAACGGTCGCACCAAATGCAACACTGTGAATCCTCCTCCCATTCTTAAAACCACCCACCCCTACCACCCAGCAACACCGAAACAACCTAACAACACCGCAACCACCACCGCAACCACCACCGCAACCACCACCGCAACCACCACCGCAACCACCACACCCACCACCGCACCCACGAAACCACCACCGCGACCCCTATCCATCTCCAATTCCCCCAAAATTCCAGAAATAGCCTCGAGAAATCAGGAAACCCTTAATTTCTTCCAATTAACCTCAATTGGCAAAAATCACTCAAACATAGAACAAATTCACGGGTAAATCCATTAAAAATCAATCCAATAACACATGAATAACACAGCCAGATTCGACATAATCAACCAACAACAACAAAATCAACCAACAATTCATCGATCGCAACGAAGATAAAAAAAAAATAAATAAAAAAAAAATCCAAACCAAAAGGAAGCGAAATCTAAGCAAACCAGGAGCAGCAGGTCGTTCAAGGCCGATTTCTTCAGTAGAAACCATAGTTTGATGAGCTCCGATTTCTTCATGAACAGCATCACCGAATTTAGGCCAAGAACGACGTTCAACCTAGGTCTTCATCTTCGTCTACTTCCCGATTCCTTTGTTGATTAGGGTTTGTTTGAGGAGAGAGAGGCAGATGAGAGAGGAGAGATCGAGGAAAGAGAAATTAAAGAAAGAAGATAAAAATGGCCGGGGTTTTTTTTTTACAATAGATTTCGCACCGGTTCGAACCGAACCGGTGCGAAAAGTTTTCCCCTCAATCCCGCCTATTTTTTTTCGCACCGGTTTTTAAAAACCGGTGCGCATTTTACGGTGCCTATTTCATTTTTTCTATTAGTGTTTGCAATTCTTGGCTTCAAGTACCTAAACAAAAACACCAGGGGAAGCAATAAGGTAGGGGCAACACTGTGAACACACAATAAAGGCAAGAATTCAAGCACATTCGTTATTTCATCAAAAACACATTGAGACATGAATGCACGCATTATTTGAACAAAACAATTATAAAACAACCTAAGACAAACTAAAACAAAGTAAAAAAACACTACCCTAAGAGTGACATAAATGTCACTCATCATTGTTGCTCAGGATTATGATGGTTATCGTCCATGATCTGGAACGGGGAAAACAACCTCTATTTATAAGGAAAAATGAGAGTCTCGACGATCCAAAAGGATCAGAATTTGAAAGGAAGGAAAACACCTTTTGATGCGGCGCGACAGGGTTGTCGCGCCACGTTGGCTTCTGTCGAGCCGCGACACTGCTGATGTGGCGCATCCGTTATGGTGCTGCGCGATGGTTTTAGAGGATTCAAGCTGTACGGAGTTTGATTTCTAATGAAATTATGATATCCGAACGTCTTTGAATTTGAATGGGATAAGGACTATCATATGAGAAGTTTTATTCAATCTCGAACTCTTTGATCTTTATCTTTTTGGGAAGGATAATTTAGAACCTTCTAGAGAATTCTAGAAGTTCCTAATTGATTTAGGATTGGGAGTATGATCACATAGGGCCTAAATAAAGTAATTGGACTCCATATAACCATTGGGTCGTAGCTAAGGTGGACCTAGGCTCGGTTTAGACTCGGTTTATTATTTTGGCCATAACTTATTCGTTTAAGTCGGATTTGGGCTTATAATATGTCGTTGGAAATCACTTTTCAAGCCCCATCCAACTAAGAAATAATTGGATTGAAAAAATGGCCAAAATAATCAGGCGTGGATGTTTATATAATTTGGGCACGAAATGAATGATTTTAGGGACACGAAATGGATGATTTTGGGTTCAAACACTTTAGGTAAGATTAGAAATATGGTCAAGGCTTAAGAAAACTTTTCGAGACTCATCAACTCTTTATCGGACTCGTCAATCAAAACGTGAAAGGTACTCATCACTGGGTTTGGTTTTTGGGGAGACACAATTAGGTGTCTAAAGAAGCCCCCACTTTAACTGAGTTTGGAGAAACGTAAGTTTCGAAAACAAAAGTCAAAGTAAGTCGATTGGGACGAAGAATGATTCAGAACATTCTGCGATCCTAAATCATCCTTTTTAACGCCAATACCTGCATAAAGTGTCAGTTCTACAAATAAAGGAGTTAAGGGGAGAGAAACGCGTATCTGGGATTGCCGAGCACACGTCTTTGGGTGACATCTTGTTAACTCAATTTGATAAGCTCCACATTCTCAGGGAGCGCTGTCGAAGACCACTTCGCTTTGAGTTGTCTTCTTGAATCTGGTGACAACCTCCTCATTCTTAGGGAGCACTGTCAATCTAAAATGTATTCGTGCGTCTCTGAACACGAGAGCTTTTGAAGGGAATGTCCACGCGTCTCTAAATAAAAGAGCTTTGAAAGAAATGTCCACGCGTCTCTGAACAAAGAGCTTTGAAAGGAACGTCCACGCGTCTCTCAACAAAGAGATTTGAAAGGAATGTTCAGGCGTCTCTAAACATAAGAGCTTTGAGTGGAATGTCCACGCGTCTCTGAATAAAAGAGCTTTGAAAGAAATGTCCATGCGTCTCTGAACAAAGAGCTTTGAAAGGAATGTCCACGCGTCTATGAACAAAGAGCTTTGAAAGGAATGTCTACGCGTCTCTAAACATAAGAGCTTTGAGTGGAATGCCCAAGCGTCTCTGAACAAAAGAGCTTTGAAGGAATGTCCACGCATCTCCGAACAAAAGAGATTTGAATAGAATGTCCACACTTCCCTGAACAAAAGGAGCTTAGGAAAGAATGTCCACGCGTCTCTGAACATAAGAGATTTGAAAAGGATAAATGGCAAGATTGATCAATTAACTCCGAACAGAAGCTTCGATGAATAGGTGACGAAGGGTGAGAGTGTTCGATTGGTTGCGAACAAAAGCTTCGATGAATAGTGACGAATTGGTGAGAGTGTTCTATTGGCTGCAAACAGAACCTTCAATGAATTGGTGTATCCTGTAAAATCAAATATTACCAAAGGACTTTGCTGGTGGTTTTGTTAGAGTTGACCCAAGACTTGGTGTGCTTGACTCGTTGTGTATGGTTCAATGTACTCAACTCGACTCGATGTGTTTTGACACGACATGACTCGTGTGTGCGAACTCATGTGTGTAGAGTGTAGGCTCAACTCGATGTGGTGACACGACATGACTCAAAGTTCATGGCTTGTGTGTGCATTATGTTGTGATTGTGCTCGTGCAACTCGAAAATGCAGAAAAGCAAAAAAAAATTGTCATTTTTATGGAGGGTACCGACTTTGTCCCAAAAAGAACGACGTGAAAAATGAAAAGAGGTAAATTGTTGGTGAAAATAGAAGTTTTTGAACTTTCCCAATAGGAAAAAGAGATGAAAAGAATGAATCGAGTAATAATGCGTGTTGAATGAGCTTAATCAAGTGTATGTATTAATAGTTGTATCTCATGGTGCAAGGATTGTAGCATCCTAGACTATCTCAATTGATGATTCGATAATGAAAGTATTTGGGTAACTTAGGCTCAGAGGCTAATTACTTCATACTTTGTGACGCGATGATGATTATGATAATGAGTGATTCTAAGATGACAAGGCATGCCCGGGGTTATATCAAGATTTCATGTCAAAAGGTTCCTAAGGGAAGGATAATTTGGCTATGTATTTGTGATGTATGTGAAAGTGACGCTAAAGTTAGGCTACAAAGGCTAAGGGTGTGGAGAAAATATTTTGAGAAGAGCCAAATGATGGTGACTCTTAGGCTGGGTAGGCTAATGAAGTAGGGATCAAGCCCCTAAGTCTAGCTCTAAATTGATAGGGATGAGCATTGGAGTTCCCTTGATATGATCATGCGTGAATATGAGTGAATGCATAATTATTACGACCGCACCCAAATGTGAGATTGCCTACGTATCCGTTAGGAATCAGGCCGAACGTTACGTATCCGTTAGGAATCAGGCTGAACGTAGCTCTAGCCGATCCTCACACAAGTATGTGTACACCTCAAGGAGTTCTTTCAAGGGTTGTAACGAGGTTATGCTAAAGGTTGAAGAAGAAGGGATAAAAGCTCAAGACCAAAAATAAGCCCCCATGGTATGCAACCTTGCATTTGAATCTTGGTATTTGTATGCTTGAGATTTCTTACTTTTGCACTTGTTTTTTTGTTTTTTTTTTTTTTTTTTTTGCATTTGAGATTTGTATTACTTCTTTGGATAAATGTGGGCAATCCTGATCATGTGGTTTATCACTCACTTGGCATTCATGTTTCTCAGGCATGGTGCCGGGCACTTGATAAGAGACTCAATCTGAGACGTGTTCATATCAAAGACATTAGAACACTTGCCCTTTTGCACACTTTTATTGCTTTTTGAACTTTTGAAAATTTTGAGACTTTGGTAAAAACCTGTAATACTCTGTATTTTTTATAATATTATATATATAAATTATTTATTCTATTTATTTTTATAAATTAAAATGATTCATTTCATTTTAAAAGAAATTAATTATGCAAATATTATGTAAGTGTGTATAAAATAATATGAGTCATTAATTGAGGCAATAAAAGTGTTTTAAATTGGTCATCTTTATTTTAATAGTTGGATCAACTTGTTGGGAAATTAAGGCACTTAAGAGCCCAACAAGTTAGCCCCAAAGGAAGAAGTCAAGGGGGAGTAGGATTTAGTAATGGCATTTTTGTAATTATGAGTTTTTGTTTTGAAAGGGGAGTATCAATACTTCAAAACCTTAAGATTTTTCACTCTAAAATCATTATTGTCATATTTCACAAAAATCCCAAAAAAATTTCTCTTTATTTTCTCTCTTATTTTCTCTTTCTTTTTCCTCTCTTTTTCCCTCTCCTTTCACGCCTCTCTCTCTCCTCTTTTCTCTCCCACCAGCGCTCCCACCGACCACCGACGTCCACCGGCAGGCGACCACCATCGGCCACCTTCCTTCTCTCTCCTCTTTTTGTGGTTCGGTATTATTAAAAGAAAAAAAAAACTCTTTTCTCTTCCTAATTTAATTCTATTGTTTTGTAATTTTTTAAATCAGGATTTTGATTATGTTTTGGTATTGATTTGGGGTATTTGATATTGTTAAATTATTTATATAATTTTCAGATTTTTATTCAATCAAAAACCCCAATTTACAAACCCTAGAAATTGGGAATTAATGGTTTATGGTTAGGGTTTGATCCTAGGTTATTGTTGTTGTTTAATAAATGGTTTAGACATGTTTTTAATGAGTCTAAAACCCTCAAATTAATGCTGGAATTTATTTATGCACACTACTTTTTAATTATTGAGTTAGGGTTTGATAACCCATAAAAGGGAAAAAGGTTTTAATGATTTAAATATGATTTCCTAGTCTATTAGCGATGTTTTATATTAAATAAGTATGCTGGAATTTTATTTAAGTAAAAAAATTAAGTCTTTTTGAAAGGATTTGAAGTACCCACTTAAAGAAAAGGTTTTACGGCTTTTATATCATTAAATTGGGTTAATTAGTAAGGTTTAAAGTGTATATAGTTGCTGGAAATTTGTGAGAATAGTAGATTAATTATATTTATATATTCTTATTTGTAGGAAGCTTCGAGGTAGGTGATTTCTAGCGAGTGTGGCCGGGTTTAGGCATTTTTCAAGGTACGTATGTGCACAAGAATATTTGTTTATGCGTAATATCATGCTAGGATTTGTAAAGTATGATTTAAGTG